TTCATATCACACATCTTTCTGGGTCCTTCATGAGGTGGGTCAGCAGGCTGCATTCATTTGGAGACTCTACCAGTCCTAATGTATCCCTTTACTACCTGACACTGCACCTTGCTGCAAACATGGTACGGCACAGCCCCCAGGAACAACTGCCAGCTTTCTCTGTTTTGCTGCCACAGCTCAAACACAGCACAACTGCACCAATGGAAATTAATTTTCTTTCTGGTTTGATTAACATTAAGGCTGCATGTAATCAACTTCAATTCCTCCACCAGAAACCACACGCTTTCTTCAAACCAATAAATACCCCTGAGGCAGGTCAGCCTTTTACCATGTTTTTACAGCTGTTAAGTGCTGTCAACTGTGTTATTTAAATAAATCATACTATGCTGTTACACACTAAGGCATGTAACTGTGCAGGGCGATTTGCTGCAGGTGTGGGAGATGCTCATTAAATGCAATTAATAAGCACTATCTGTGCACTGAAGGGCATAAGAGCTATTAGAAGACAGTGTACAAGTAATGCCAACAGATATAAAACCAAGGCACTCCCACATGAAATTTCAAGGAACCATAGAAATGACATTAATCATACAATCCAAGCCAATTAAGTTAATCACAGCACTCAAAATGAATAAACCCCACCACTGTCTTTACTGTGGTTATTAAGACAGGAAACAGCACTCCATCAGCCAGACTTTATGAAGCACCCTAAGATTGGGTCAGCAGCTTCTTTTAAATAGCAATTTCCTTGGCATCATGTGGGAGCTCACAGGTACAGGGCTTGCTCAGGCAGAGTCACCTGCTCTGCACCGGGCTGCTGGGGCAAAGCCACTGGTTGGGCATTGCAAGGGCAGCTGGGTTACCCAGAACAGCCTCCCTCATAGTTTGTTGTAATCAGTCTTCTTTCAGTCCTCCACAATTTTTTAGAATTCAGCAATTTCAGGAAAAGATCAGGCACCAAACTCCACAGGAAAGGTGGAGGAAGGTGAAATACTACATAGAAATCCCTGTCATCCCTTCAGTTTACAGGGATAATATTTGTTAAATGCTAAGAGAACGAACCAGATTTTTCCACATCAAGTGAAAATAGCAAAGGCAAATGTTTATTGGTCTCGCATAATGACAGTGCAATGGTATTTAAAAGTATGGATTCAAAAGAAATAAACTCTTCTTGTTTATCATAAATGACTGCAATTATGTTGTCAAGTGACAGATGAGTGTTTTGATTTCCTCTTCCTGATGTCTTTTTACCTTCAACTTAGATTGTAAGCTTGCCACTGTTTATTCGTGTACTACTACTGAACCACTGAGAGGGGTTATTAATCAAAAGTATTTATTTTTCAAGGCAGTCATGCCACCCCGGATACAGCTAAAGCTTAATCCTACATCCTCCTCCAAAGCAGCATCTTTGTGATGTTAAAAACACTCCGCTAGCCCAAACAGAGCACGGGGTAACATGCCCCTGGACATGCAAACGCCAGCTCAGCATCTTGCCCACAGCCCTTACATTCACAAATGCCTGCACAAAACAGAATAAACATGACAGAACGGCTTGGTATCTGCATTTTGCCTCATCCTCCTGGGCAGCTCCAGGCATAGTTACATTCCCAGGGTGTATGTACCAGGTACTGGTGCATGCCAGTGTTTTGCCAGAGAAAACATGAAAAGAAGAGCTGTGCAATGCGTCTCCTGCCAAAATGGTACTACAAACAGGAACAATAAACCTACACGCAATCATAGTTTTAAAACCACTTATGCTTTCTACTGGGTCCTCTTATGATTTTTAAAGCATCACAAAGCTTTCCTGAGGAAAGCACAGGCCTTCACCTGCCCAAGGGCACAGAAGAAGCTGAGGAGAGAGTGTGCAGCTTCCAAGCATTATAATCCCAGAGGAGATCAATACTTTGTTCTCTTCTTTGCTGAAAGAGGCACACAGTTCACACCAGATCTCAGTTGCTTCCCAAGTTCTGGTATTGGTAGCACAGCTTGCCAACAATTACTTTCTCTGAGAGCAAAACAAACTGGGTAGGATGTTGACCCACAGGGAAAAGTGTTCAGCTCCTTCTTTAATAATCTACAGGTAATAAGAGCTTCTTTTTATTGCTGCCTGGGCACATGTTCCCTGATAGCTCTAAACTTTCAGTACACAGGAATAGCACCGAAACACAGGTATCCACTTGCAAGAGTGGATTTTGCATTTGCATTTTCAGAAAAATGAACACATCCCTTAGTACAAGAAACCACTGGCTCCTGAGACAAAAGGATTTGATGGCCTCATTTTGTCTGCATTTGTTTGACTCTTAAAAGCACATCTGCTTGCTAAGCCACGACAATCTTCAGCCATGTTGAGAGAGTAAATACTCAGCTGGAAAAATCTAAAAATACTTCAGCAAGCACCCTTAGCCTTTTCTAAGAACAAACTTCTAGGTGAGCTTCAACCATTTGGTGTCATTACACTTCTGAATGATTTTGCTCCTTGAAATAAATTCAGCCTGTCTTTCTCCTGTACCTAGTCCCTTCATTAGTCAGAAGAGCAGAAGACAGAGATGGGAGCCATTAGATATAAACCACCAAAAGCCTTACACCATCTGATGGAAGAACAGGTCTAACAGATGTTTATGTTCCAACCTAGGCTGCCGTACTCTGAGCTCACAGCAACAGATCTTACCCATTTCAACCTGCATCTGCTCTACAGAAAACATTGTCAGGATGTCAGTCTTTGCTTCAGCTATGAAAGCTCTTTAGTGTCCAAGCACTCTTGATAAACAAAGATGGAAAAGGTTTCACCTGTACATCTCAAGAAAAATGAGACCAATACCTACCTGACTAAGCAGAATCTGGAAAAATCACATGGCTCACATCCAGCCTGCTTTTCAAAAGCACAACTGCAGAGACTACTCGGACAGTACACAGGCTGCAACAGAAATTTTACAGCTTAACAAATGGAAGGCAAGGTTAACTACAGAATTCCCTAACTGCAGTCATTCCAAAATTAACACGATCAGATCATTGTTATTCCATTGGTTATGCCAAAAAGGGAAAAGTCCTTCTCTCACTAAAGAGACAGAAACTGAGGTACTGAGGTCTGTGCCGGCAGAGTGCAGGTGCAGCCTTGAAGCCTCAGTAGTTAGAAAAACATTCCACTGTCTTATCAGCCTAGCAGAACACACTGTTGCTAGTTACAAGAAAGCTTACTGAAGGAAAAAAAAATCAGTAAAAAGAAAAATTGGCTTCATCCTGGCTCAAACCAGGACAGCTGGCAACTTGCCCCTCAAGCTGAAATATCACTTGACATAGAAATAATCCTTATTTACTTTTTTTAATCCTGTGACTGCCTTTGAGCTCACATTTGACTTAGTGCTTTTCAAGGCATACACTGAAAGCATACCTTAAGTATAACAACTTGCAGGAGAGGATCCCACAGTCCTGGAACTTCTGGCTGAAAAAACAAGTAGGAGAAAGCATCCTTCTGCATGGTCACCTCAGTGATAGTTCAGGATCATTACCAATTCAATAAATAAAATTAAATAAATAACATCAAATAAATAACAACCACAATGCTCAAGGAAGGCATGTGTGTGCCAGAATTATCCCATAAATGAGCAAAACAGCAAGCTATGCATTTGGACACACCCTGACTTACATGTGTTCAACAGCAAGTAAACTTGAAATGCTGAAATTTTAAACATCTTTGTTATAGCTTGAACACCAAAAACCTCTTCAGGAAACAGCAGCTCCCTGGAACAGGTGACAGGTTGCACTCTTTACCAGTATCACAGTCAAAAGTGAGATACTATTAGTAAGGTTTAAAAAAAAAATAAAAAATTCATATTTACTTTAGATACTTGATGTCTTGTGATGAAGCTGTAAAGATGAGTAGACAACACTGCCACAGCATTAATGGTAGCTTAATACATGGAAAATCTTGAACTACTACAAACCTTGCAAGTGCTCAGATAGCACTGACAGATATGCAGGTACTTCCTTCTGTATGTGACAGGATTTAGTGTTCAAAAGGTCAGTTATAAATTGTAAATCACTCAAGATGAAAAATAAGAGTGTACCGATTCCAGCTATTATTGAAAGGTGAAGTAGAAGAAAAATAAGCATTATCATTAAGACAAATCCTTCACATTTGACCTGTTTTCTTCGTGATAGCTCTTCTGTAACAGCGCAAGAATCCAATACAGACAATTGTAGATGTGGAGATATTTCTCCAGAGAGCATGCAAGGGACCCTCTGTGAAGTTCAGAACAAGCTGTCAGTGAAGGCGACATACAGGTGTCAACTGCAGTCTCAGTGCTGCTTTGATACTGAACATTTCCCACCTGAACATTCCCCCACCGTACACACTGCCAGAGCTCTCTGAAGAGACAGAGAGTGGCTGGCATCATCTTTCCTCCAGGAAGTTTGCTGGTTATCTGCCATGTTAAACTCAACATTAAATCAAAAGGAGAGAAAGAGCTCTAGTGAAAAGAAGAAACCAAAACACACTCATGCTGCTATACATCAATGCATTTTCTTGTTTTATTTTGGATTATTTTTCACAGATCCCCTCAGATGCCAAGGCAGATTTGGAAGTTTTTTTTGATTGATCAGAGCTAGCTAAGGCAGATTTGGAAGTATTTTTTTCTTTATTGATCAGAGCTGGACAGAATACTTTCCATAAAAAAAGTTTGGTACCATTCAAAAAACTGAATAGAACCATCTTCTAAACAACAGGTTTTCCACAACACGTAAGTTTTCACAGCCTGAGACAGAGGACAAAAGATTACTGACAACAAATGGCTTGGTATGCTTTACAATCTGCCCCTCAGACTCACCTGCTGCTTTAAATACAGGTTTGAAATGGACAGTGGTAAATCTTATTACCTGACCAAAATGGCAATATCTGAAGTGTTCAAGTCAGCTGGCCAGACTGCAATTCATAGGCTTATTTTTATACAGCATTGCAAAGTTTGTGAAAATAACAAAGTGTGTTTTCAAAGATGTGAAGTGCATTATGCATATGTGACAGATGGATCTGTGAACTGGAAAACCTCCTCATCATACAGGTCTTCTGGTAGTTTTTCATCTCCATCCGCAAAAAATGTAGGGA